ATCTGTTTATCATATACTCCAAGAATTATTCTATCTTTAATCATTCTGTCAATGTAACTTGTTTTACACTGGTCCTGGGCACATAGAAAACCACAATTGGCAGCCTGATTCTTCAATTCGGTAATGAATGAGTCTATACTTTGGCCTTCCTTTTGTGTTATACTGTTAAATTTGAAAGTTTCCATTGTGACATTTCTTTTTGGCAAAAAGTGATTATCAAAACATGCAAGGACATCACTGAGTTTTTTCCTGTTGGCTTCTTCAAATGTGTTATAAATATCAAGGGCATTATCCCCTATTACATTAAGTAATAATGCTATCTTAATATTTTCCTCTTTGGCTAGTTTATCAGATGCCAATAAAAATATTTCGAACCTTTGCTTCCACTTGAGCCAACCACCAAAATCATTCGTGTCAAACGGCTCTGGAATCCTACACTCCATGTCCAATGGGTTTTTACTTCTTATAAGTGAACATTTTATAAGACAGCTTCAGACCAGACTTTTTATCTATGGAGAAAATTGTTTCTAACCTTTCTCTTCAGCAGACGAATTGAATTGTTCCCATTCCAGCAGGAAACACACCTGACACCATGTTGTATTTTATCAATAAATTATTAACACTTATGTAGTTTTTGGTTTATTACTTTTAATTTATGATTATAATACCATTTTACAATTCTGATCATGTGTGTTCTTATCTTTTTTCCATCGCACGGCACACACCAAAATCCTTGACATTTGACACAAGATAACTTAAACCTATGACACACAGACAAGCATAGAACGGACAGAAATAGATATAAACAACAGACAGGTACATGCACAAACTCACAAACTTAAGACTATTATACAACACTAGGCACTGTGAAATGGGTAATACCCATGTTTCAGTAGCTGATTGAAGATTCCGGGCAAACCAATCCAATTTCCTTTCCCTTCCACGCCTTCAATGTTGAAAAAGCGATGAGGGAAACTCAAGTAAAATTATCCAGAAGTGAAATACCTCTCCATTAGAGTTCCGGACAAGAGAAAGAGGGTTTCACCATCGGCTAGTAATAAAAGCCTCAAGATAAAGGCTTCTATGTTTTTTCATTAATAATAGCAAATTGTGATGATCTACTGTTTTTTCCTCACCCATCTACTGCTCCGGCAAATTTTCATCTGGCAACACTGCTCGTAGTCAGTTCGATCAGGTATGTTTTGAAAACTGTAGCGTCCCTAATTATTTTGTTGTTTATTCATAATCAAAATAATTGGCGGAAATATTACTGTTATGGGTGTCCGCTAAAAGGAGGTCAATCCATTAACCACATATTCCTTGAACAAAAACAATATGAGTTTCTAAATACCATTTTTCATTTTAGCCCTTCATATTCGATATACAGGGTGTCAAAGTTGGAAATTAAAAACTGTTTTTTTTTCTAATTACTCGCGTATTTGATAAGATATTAATCTCAAAATTGGTACATTACTTCAGCACAAAGAGTTACATCGTGTGAGGAAAACATAACAGAAAATAATTGTCAAATATTCAAAATACTGGGCGTCAAGTACACACTTACCCCCATATTTTTTTTGTACGTGCGCTAATGACTTCCTATCTATTTCCCTTCAAGTGTTCAATCATTTTTGAGTATTTTTTGGTTCTTGTAAAATTTCGATTAAATCATTTGTTTTTAAGATAATTCGAAAAGTACTGGTTATTGTTTGATGCCTATGCGGCTTACAGTAATTACAGTACAGTAATGTTCACATACTCCTATTTATTTGGTCGAAATTGGAAGAGGGCGTATCGTATTACGCACGGAAAGGTAAATATGGAAATACCGGGTGCTCAGAGCGAATGTATTAAAATAATTTTTCTTTTTTTTTTTTGTAAAAATAATTTTAATACATTCGCTCTGAGCACCCGGTATTTCCATATTTACCATTTCGTACGTAAAAAAATACGCCCTCTTCCAATTTCGACGAAATAAATAGGAGTATGTGAACATTATGAGATTACCATAAGCCGCGAGGCATCAAACAATAACCAGTACTTTTCGATTTATCTTGAAAACAAATAATTTTGTCGAAATTTTACAAGAAACAAAAAATACTCAAAAATGATTGAACACTTGAAGAAAAATATATAGGAAGTCATTAGCACACGTACAAAAAAAATATGGGGGTAAGTGTGTACTCGACCCCCAGTATTTCGAATATTTGACAGTTTTTTTTTCTGTTTTGTTCTCCTCACACGATGTAACTCTTTGTGCTGAAGTAATGTACCAATTTTGAGATTTATATCTTATTAAATACGCGAGTAATAAGAAAAAAACAGTTTTTAATTTCCAACTTTGACACCCTGTATATCGAATATGAAGGGCTAAAATGGAAAATGGTATTGAGAAACTCATATTGTTTTTGTTCAAGGAATATATGGTTAATGGATTGACCTCCTTTTAGCGGACACCCTGTATATAATATTACAATGCCTTTCAAGTATTGTGTTCCCTTTTGTCGGGGGAATTATGTGCCCTCATATTACCTAGAACAAACTTTAGAACCTGAAAGTTCCTTACTAACAATGACAATCAGGAATAACTTCAGTGACTTTTATTAAACTCAAAAATATCGCATAACGAGTACATTCAATGAATATCAGATCTCTACGACTTCAACATACACAAGGTATTTGAGTCGATCCATCTTTTGCAGTGGAATGAAGATGATAGGGCAAGAAGAAAATCTTACAATCAACTCCACCAAAACTATACTTTATTCAACATTGGAAATATGTTTCGAAGCTTCAAAACTTCATCATCAGCAAAAATTATTATGTTACAGTTACAGTAAGTACTACAATAAGAAAGATAAAAAGCTACGTCAGACAACATTCCAACAATGAAAGTAGAATAATCCTCACCTGTTCTGGGGAAAATATTTCACATGTTTTTATTTATTTATTATTTATTCATCAAACATATCTTCAGAACAGTCAGAACAAGATACGATTAACATATTGAATACTGTTTTTATATGAATGAAGGGTCCGCAATTGAATGCGGATCACCTTTGTCGAAATATTAATATAAACAGTTGAAAAAATTTTCAACAATGTTCCGACAGAGGATGGAAAAACGAGGCAATGCCCTTCTCTTCTTCATATTCTATATTAATCCCCAAGTAATAATTCAACCTAAGTCTTCCATTTCGAACTCGTCTTTGAATTTATTCTTGTAATAGTTGATTTTTTCTCAATTTTTATAGAAACAGGTATTATGTCGTCAACAAATATCAATGTTATCATCATTCCTTAGAGAACATTTCCTTTAACATAGAGACAGTAGTCTGAAAATGATTTCTTGAATCCAAGATTTTTTAAGAAATCATTAAATCTTTCATTCCACATTTCTGGTGACTGTTTCAATCCATATAGGGATCTATTGAGTTTACAAACTCCATTCTTCTGCTTCTCATAACCTTCGGGTATTTCCATATATACATCTTCTGTCAACACTCCATTCAAATATGCTGTGCGAAAAAAGAAATTGTGTTGATACTGTTGATTAATCATTCTAAGAGTTGTCATTTTTGCAACAGGAGCATAAGTCTCTGTATAATCAATTCCTCCCTGTTGTAAAAAACCTTTAATCAGGCTTTGTACTTGATTGGGCAATCTTCGGCATATCTTTTTATCTTGAAAATCCATTTGACCTGGATAATTTTTCGATTTTTTCAACTTTCTGCTATATCCCAGGTTTAAATCTTTTTCAATGCTTTCATTTCTATTATTACTGCCTTATACCAGTCTTCTTTGTCACAAATTATTTCAACATTTTCTACAGTTTTGGGTACATCATCTTCTAGAGGGATTTCAACTGATAAAGACGTTCCTTTTAAAACCATCGAGGTGTCACGATCTCTTTTCTCGTTCTGCACATTCCTACTGATTCGCCAACCTCTTTGTCTTTATCATCATCATCTTGTTCAGAATTGACTTCTATATTTCTAATATCATCTTCTGGCATATTTTCACTGCTGACAACTTCTGGAACAGTATAGTTCATTTTCTTAACAGCTCCTCTACCATTTTCTGTATTGTTACAGATGTCACATGTTACTAAGGGTACTCGTATCTACATTAATTTGTTTATATACAATATGTCCATCTTCTATATCAGTTTGTTTGAAATTTCTTGCTTGTCTTTCATCTTTTCTTTTCACATTATTTTCTGTATATCTTGTTTTTTCTCCTATTTCCTAATTTTTTCTTTTATTTCAATTCTGTTTGCACTTAAGAGCTTCTCCTCATGATTATATCCCTGCCAATTATTATTTCGTGTTTCTCAGGATCCCATAACCTGTATCCATTAGGCGCATATCACATATGTCACTGCACTTTATGGGAATTTCAGTTTTGGAGTGATTCTTCCGTCTGTTCTACTCAGATGGCGTTACTTTCATATTGTCGATGAAAGACGCCTCGGGGGAATATAATGCCGACTCGATTTTTGTTAGGCTAGACTTCGCTGAGTCGGCGGTCTTAGGACTGCTGGCTGGAGACCACACTGCAATGATGAGAGTGTGGTTGTCTAGCGTGGCCTGGCTAAATGGAAATCAATAGGCATTCAGGAAAGACTCACTTGTATCAGTATTCGTTTATACGAGTCGATGCATAGATTTCGGGAGGATGTAATTCAATGTTCTGCGTGGCATTAGCCAGGAAAGTAGTTATTTTTCTCTCGAAATCTACCATTGTTGTTCATGTTATGAACATTGTGTGGAAATGACTTTGAGCTTTTTGTATTTATTTAAGGTAGGAATTGGTGTTCATCTTAAATTTCTAGAGGTTATATGACTCGGGGAACACCTCCCTTGGCAATGTATTCCAGAGCCTCGCTGTTCGTTGGATGAACGAGTCTTTGGAAAGAGATGTTCTGCAGGTCTCCAAAGTGACCACGAAGGGATGCGAAGCCTCAACTCTACGGGTTAATAATTAAGGTCATTACTCACATTGTGCGCACTCTCCCCGCACCGTTCAACCGCGGCCAGTCCCTGAGCGGCGATGTGCTGCTCGAGCAGCGTCCTAAGCTCGCCCAGGCCGTCGGGAATTCGCGCCACCAGGCCGTACATGCGCCCCAGGTCTCCGTCCTTGTCGTCGTCGAGCAGCTGCTGGAACTCCGAGTGGAAGAGCTCGAGGTGCTTCTGGATGAGGACGCGCTCGCACGTCTTCGCCAGACGCTCGCTAGTCGTCTCGTGCAGGTACACCTGGACGCGCTTCTGCTCTTCGAGCAAGCGCTGTTCGGCCTGGAAAGAGGATATGGATAGTCGATTCTCTCTCTTTCATTGGATTGTATATGTATAGGTGTGTGTATATGTGTATGTATACGCATGTGTATATTATAAGTGTAAATATACATTGTTGTTAATGAATATCATCTATGATTTAGCTTTGAGACAATATGTGTATATGTGATGGCGATAATTGAAAAGAAATTGTTTTAATGCTCATACTATACTGTACACATTATAGTAACTATTAGATTTGAGTAGGACTAGTTTTAAGTTGGACTCGACTACTTTTCTCATTTTGTTTTCTACTCACTTTCTCATGTGTACCTATATTATCTTTTTTTATATATTCACATATTTTTCAAGGCAAAGTCGAAAAACACTGTAAAGTGACACTTCGCCTTTTCATTTCTATGAATTAAGCCGTTTATTATTATTATTATTATAGTTCATATAATTCCAGTCATGACCCTGCGGCCTCCGACGTCACGCAGAGTCGTGCTGGATAAAATCCAGTGACTACTCCTCACAGCCTGTGAGGTGAGTAATCACTGGGACCAAGTACCGTGTGCCCTGAGTAGACGCAATGATCCCAGTATGACGGCCTTCTGCATTCCACCAGCCAGGATGTGTGCCTTATCACGGCACGCTGGGATTTTCTGGATCTCCGAGAGCAGCGTGTGTCGTGTGCCTCCTAGGGAGCCGATAATCAGGATGACCAATTCCACAGAATGGTCTGGATAGAGCCGGCGGAGTTCGAAGAGAAGATCTCGATATTTAGTCCGTTTTTCCTCCTCCTTCAAAACGATGTTCGGTTCGGCTGGCGCCGAAAACTCGATCACGAACATCGCTTTGGTTTGATGGTCGAGGAGGACTACATCAGGCTTGTTAGCTTGAATTTGCCTGAGGGTGGGGAATGAGAAGTTCCAATAAATTCGGCACCTCTCATTCTCCACAACGGACTCAATATTAACCCGGAGCATAGGGCAGCACTGGGGTCTCGTCTATTCCGTACGAGTGCCTCAAATAGTAGTAGAGCACTCGCAATGCCGCATTGTGTCGATGGATATAGGCCGAGACTGCATACACCGTGCAAGAAGACAGCAGGTGCATAATTGTCTCGGGCGCCCTGCGGCAGGCCCTGCAACTTGTGTCAGGGACCTCCATACCCATGACACGGCTACGGTAGACGAGAGTGTTAAAAACCCCATCCTGGCATGCCATGATGAACCCCTCTGTTTCCGATTTGAGCCCGCCTGACTTCAGAAAAGCAAAAGTCAGTTCTTTGGATAAGCCCCGGTCTCCAATGGTCTTGAAGTAGACCGAATGCATGGGCTTCTCCATGTGAAGCTGCAGGAGCTTTCTCACTTCTGCAGCTTTGATGTGGGCCTTCCTCCGAGCAGGCTCTAGCTCAGTAACTGAGTCCTGAGCCTCGCGCTCGGAGTCGAAAATCAGAGACAATTCATCGGCTGCTCGACGTGCTGCCCTGAAAAGAAAAGCTCCTACTCCTGCCTCTTCATGGGTTTTAACCATTTGCAGAAGGGGGTCCGAACTCCTGATGACTTTGCAGGCGCCATCCAGAACCATTCTGTTATGGAGATACTCCAAGCTCAAGAGTCCACGGCCACCCTGGTCTCTAGGTATGTATAACCGTGGAACGGACGAATTTGGATGCAGACTCCTATGGAGATGCATCATCTTGCGAGTACTTACGTCAAGTTGTCGCAGCTCGACTTGAGTCCACTTTATCACTCCAAATGAGTAAAGTAGGATCGGAACAGCAAGCATGTTAGTCGCAGCGACTTTGTTCTTCCCCGACAGTTCTGACGACCAGATCTGTCGGAGCCGCTGCCGATACTTGCTGCGGAGAGCGTCTTTTACCCGTTGTGCCTCCTGGATGTGAGTTTCCTCTACACCCAGGTAGGTGTACGTCTCTCCGGCATCCAGGTGGTGTAGGATCCGTCCACGAGCTGCGCGTCCTTGTCGTAGTTCTCGCATCGTCCTCTCTTGAGATGAACCAGTGCACATTTGTCCATTCCGAATTCCATTCCAATTGCCTGCGTGTACTCCTGTACCACCCTGAGGGATTGGTCCATATCCCTCTCACCAGAGGCATAAAGTTTGAGGTCATCCACATAGAATAAGTGAGTGACTTTATGCCTCCGGTAACTGGGTGGGCCGCAGTTGTATCCTCTGGTTTTGCGGAGCTCAACGGATAGTGGCAGAAGTGAGATGCAGAATAGGAGTGGGCTAAGGGAGTCCCCTTGAAATACTCCTCTCCTAATGATGACTGGCTCTGTCTGAACTCTCGCATTACCTGATGTTATAGTAAAGCGGGTCTTCCAGACCAGCATCAGTTGTTCTATGCATCTCACTATTATTATTATTATTATTATTATTATTACTATTATTATTATTATTATTATTATTGCTAAGACTCACAAAATGAGGGGTATTTCTTCACTAGTGCAGGACATTAAAATTCAATCAATGAAGCGTATTACCTCATGTTTGGGGATTTACAGAAGTAATTCATCTCAAATTTGACTACCTTTTGGTGTCGAAGCAGGTCTAAAATACTACTAATTCTCAAATAGTTACTTCGTAAGGAATTCGTAAGCGGGATACGGGGATTACATATTTCTTTTTTAGAAGAAAGTGGCCCTCCACTGCATATTTTGGAGAAAAACAGGGATACGGGGATTACATATTTCTTTTTTAGAAGAAAGTGGCCCTCCACTGCATATTTTGGAGAAAAACAGTGATTAATTGAAAAAATCAGACGAAAGTGAATGAAGAATCAAAGCCTCCATACTGAGCTGCCCCACATTTGAAGTGAGACAAGCAAAAATTTCTATCATTTTCAAAATCATAACTTTCGATTGGATCAACCAATTTTCAATTTCTTTCAAGCTTCTGATAGCTCATTCCATTGAGTAAAACGTCAGTACTTTCTTGTTATTCCACCTTTTCGACATGAAGACCTACAGGGTGATATCTGAAAATGTGATAATTTTCGAGAAGTTTGGGATCACCCCGTTTCACCGGGATTTTTTTTATGTCTTATTGAGGGCGATAAAATGAAGGACAATGAGTTTTTCCGAAATGGTTTTGTATTCAAGGATTCATACAGGATGTTTCGATGTATGGAATTTAAAAGACATAGGAAATAGTGCAATATTATATTGTCCTCATTGCTCTATTTTGAAGCTTTTTTGAAGCATCTTCATTGCTTATAAAATAGATATATTCGACCGATATAATAGCTCTTGTGATCTGATGAAGAAACAGTCCTCAAGTGCTCAGATTTGGAGGTATAGGGTGGAATTTGAGAACGGTTGAATTTTTCTTGATGTATGATTTTCTCCTCAAAACCTCAATAATTTGCACTTCCTACTTCAGTTCTTCAAGGAATCTGGGAATGTTGAGAGGGTCTGTGGGTGGTAATTCCTCCACTCCTGGTGTGCTCCCAGAAGTGTCGATGTATCGATCGCACTTCAGTAGGATGCGAGGTAGGATGTGGTGTGATGTTTTCGGTTTTTTCCGCAGAATTTACAAGTACTGTTCTCTTCCAAGCCCAGCTTCCTGAGATATCCCTTGATTCCACAACAGTGGCCTGTGAGAAATCCTATCATGCTTTTGCGACTTTTCCTGTTGAGGTTAATTAGTACCTTCTCGATTAAAATTGCAATGGAGATTTTTGGCTTGCCGTAACCCTGATAGTCCTTTTCGTGCCAGTTAGTCTGTATGTTCGTTTCATTCTACTCCGATGGGCCTTGGCACCCAGAGTAGGATTACTTTGTTGCTCCTGCCTAATTCGTTAAACTTCTGTAAGTATTCCCGCACCATATTTGAGTAAATGTAAGGTAAGCTTTGATGGCTGCTATTGTTGTTTTTGTTTTTCTGTATTTTATGTCAAGATTGAACTGGATACACCATTCGATGGCATGTATTTCCGCTTGGAGATCTTCCCATGAAATATTTCATTCGGAGATCAATAACTCCTACTCCAACTCCCCCTGTCCATCGGTCATGATACTATTTCCCAACTCCTAAATCGCTTTTGCGCTCCAATCGTTACTCAGCTCTATGTGGATGTCTCTGAACTGAATTTCTTAAAAAATCTTACGAATTCTAGCCCTCTCTCTATGAGATTGTCTTTGGCCATTATTACTATGTCTTCTTCGTAGCCAAGGCAAGTGATTTATCATTTAGTCAGCATTCCTCGTAGTTTGTTCAGCACAAAAGTCCACATCAGGGGTGAAAATATCCCTCAGGAAATGGTGAACCCGAGGTGCCCTAGCCGGATATTCACCAAACTTCAACTTGTCTTGAGTGATATCCTCTTCTCTCTTCCTTTTCCAATCAATCATATCGGCCTTCATTGGCCAACTTCTCTTTTCCTCTTCCCCTGCAAGCCCAACCTCACCATCAAGTGGTGTGGGGAGGACAAACCGCGGCCGCTCGACAGATGAAGCATTTTTGGACCATCTTTGCTATCTCCGGGCGAGATGGAACAATTATTGGTGGACATCTGTGGTAAGAATAGGGCGATTTGCTGATATCTGTCTAGGTGGTCAAGGACTGCTCAACGAGGCTCTAATCCAAGTTGTGGGAACCCGTGGCGATGGATGAATGGCACCGAGGTATGGTGTCGCTAACGTGCCCTCTGGGAAACAGGGCGACATATCAGAGTAAACAGACTTAGCCCTGTGCAGGGGGGCTTACAGGGCTGGAAGAACCCCTTACCCTGTCACTCGTAAGAGAAGGAAAACTTTTGGCCTTTTTCGTAGACGAGAACAGGGATCGGATGAGTAATCTTCAGGAACCTGAACAAAAAGGGTCTATCATATTGAAGTGGCCCTTAATAAGCACCATGTGTCGTATATGGTAAAATTGATAACGGCAGGTAGGTAAGATACAATGGGCCACTAGGCCTAGGTATCGTCGGAGACATCAGTTAGTGGGTATACCCTGGTGTCAGGGGATTCCCACACTATCAAATGGAGGATTAG